CAAGTAGCACTTACTTAGCAATAAGCTCCTCACTGATGCCCAGTTTTTATTCCACCAGGGTCACTCACCACCTGACCTCATTACTGCCTTTGTCCAAACAAAAGAGCTTATCTCCAGCAGTGAGATGAGAGTGACTGCTGTTGACATCAAGGCAGTATTGGACAGAGTGTGGCATCAAGGATCCCTAGCAAAACTAGAGATAATGGGAATTAGGGGAAAACTTTTCTCTCAGGGGTCATACCTGGCGCAAAGTAAGATAGTTGTGGTTGTTGGACAGCTGTGCAGGATATTGTCAGGGTAGTGTCCTAGGCCCAACGTCTTCAACTGCTTTAACAGTGATTTTCCTTCCATAAGAATGTCAGAGGTAGGGATGTTCTCTGATGAATACACACTGTTCCACACCATTTGTTACTTAATCAGAAATTGAAGTAATCCACGTCCAAATGGAGGAAGGCCTGGACAATATCCAGGTTTGGTTTGGTAAATGGCAAGTAACATTCATGCCAGCCAAAGGACAGGCCATGACCATTACAAACAGGAGAGAATCTAACTCTCTCCCTTTGGCATTCAGTGACATTACCATCAATGGATTCTACCATTATTAACAGCCTGAGGATTACCATTGACCAGAAACTGGACTGGACCAGTCACACATATAATGCATATGCAAGAGCAGATCAGGGGTATGCCAAGGAACTCTATCTTTACTCCCCTAAGCCTGCCCACCATTTACAAGGTATAGGTCAGGAGTGTGATGGAACACTTTCCACTCACTTGGGCGAGAGCAGTTCCCACAACACTCAAGAAGCTTGGCACAATTCAGGACTAAGCAAGGATATGTGATTGGCATCCCTTCAATCACCTCCAACATTTGTTCCCTCCACCATTGACACATTTTGCCAACAGTATTTACTGTCTACAAAGCTCTGACAACACCTACCAAACCTGCAACTTCCACCAAGTAGGATAGCAGCAGCAGATGCACGAGAACGCCTCCAGCTGCAAGTTTCCTTCCAAGCCTAAAGACATCCTGACTTGGAACTATATCACTCTTTCTTCGCTGCCCGTAGGTCAAAATTCTGGAACTCTCTCCTTAACAGCACGTTGGGTGCCCCTACAATACATAGAGTACAGTGATTCAAGAGGGCAGCTTGCCACCACCCTGTCAAGGAACATAGGAACAGGAGGAAGCCATTCATGGCTGATACAACACTTCAATGCCTTTTGCTCACCTCGTCCCCATAACACTGTACACCGTTGGCAATCAGAAATCTATCAATCTCTCACCTAAACATACTCAAACACTGAACCACCCTCTATTGTTGAGAATTCCAAAGGTTCATAACCTCTATGTAAAATAATTTTTTCCCATCTTAGACAAAAATAGCATCCCCTAATTTTTAAATTGTACCCCCTGGTTCTAAACTCCCCAGCCAGGGGAAATAGCTTGTCTGAATCCACCCCATCTATCCCTTTCAGTACTTTTTGAGTTTCAATTATATCATATCTCATAATTTGAAACTCTCGAGTATACAGTATACAGTTTTCCCCATCCCTCCTCAAGGACAGCGCTGAATTCCGAGGAACAGGTCTGGTGAACCTTTGTTGCTTTCTGTCTATGGAAATAGCATCTTTCCTGAGATAGGAAGGCTGAAACTGCACACAGTATGCCACATGTGGTCTGTTCAAGCTCTTCTACAATTAATGCAAGTCTTCACTGCTCCTGGTACTCAGATACTCTTCCTATAAACGTTAACGTTCCATCAGCCTTATTAATAGCTCACTCCAACAGCATATTAGCCTTCAGTGATACATCAACAAAGATATCTAGGTCCCTTTTACTTCTATATCTTCCAACTTCCTATTTAAGAAATCATCTGCAAATTTGGAAATATTATATTTGGACCCCACCTCCAAACAGGACCTGAAAGGTAGTAATCTCAGGATCACTCCCAGCACCACTTAATGAAATCACAAATAGAATAGACCAAATGAATGCATGGCTGGAGGGATGATATACAGTAGAGGGATTTAGATACTTGAAAGACATTTTGACCAATTCTAAGAAATCAATCTGAAATCTGAAAACGATGAATGTGTTGCATCCCAATAGGATCAGGATCAATATCATCACCAGGCCATTCGCTAATACTGTAGTTTAAGCTAGAACGGCAGGGGCATGGGAATCTAAGTGGAGAGACAAGGGTGAGGGAAACAAAGAAGGAAATGAAAGGTAGAAAAGTA